CCCCAAAACCCCAAAACCCCATATTACAAGCATGATTGCAGATTAGGCTAATAGCAAATAAAAGAATTAATTATTTGACCATAATAAAATTAATACTCAAGTTATAAAATAATGAAAAGAAATATTTTAAAACACCTAAAAGTACTCATCAGGAGTTTGGACTTATTTGGAACTCCTATAAAGCTGACATTCAAAAATAAGTCAACATATACTTCTCTTTTCGGAGGCTTCGTGAGTTTAATTATGATGATATGGTATCTATACTTGGTTATTTCTAGTTTCATTTCAATGGTAAATAGAGATTTTCATTCGATAAGCAAATCAGTTGATATTAGAAATCAAGCTGTTGATAAAAGAGCGGTTACATTAACTTCTTAGAATTTTGATGTCGGAGCTTAAGTGTTAAACTTAAATTAGACTGAAGTTGATGCTTACGAATACGTGTCTCTAAGTCTCGTAAATACATTCTTTTTTTACGATGGTTAAAATCTAACTTATAATGAAACTCTAGATTATTTGACTATCTGTAAATCTGATTGATTCCTCGGGGTTTTAAAGAAAAATCCAGATATTATAGTTGCTGGAAACTATTTTTGTCCGTCATCTAATTATTCAGTAGAAATTGTAGGATAAATGGTTTCCAAAATTTCTAAAACAATGAGTATCAGAGTAGGAGTCTGCACATAAGATTGGCTAAAAATTATTTATGGAGCGAACACAACTAAAAAATGCAAAACTCCTCTAGAAACTATTTAAAATTTGCAATACTTAGCTTTAAATTCTATTTTAACACAGCAAAATTTTGATGAATCAGATTTTGAAAACCCAATAAAGAATCATTTGAAAGTCGACTTTTTTTAATTGAGCTCAGTTACAGGTTAATGGTTTGTTTCAAAGATTACTTAGAACTTTGCTATTTTAAGTGATTCCTATGTTTACTAGGGTATCAAATCTTAGAATATATCGTTTTATACTGTTTAAAAAGATTATGTATAGAATACTGCTTATTGAAGTAATTTCAGTTTTGCTCTTAATCTAGAATTAATGCTTGACGATTAAATATTATTAACTGCTAGAAACGTAAAAACTATTTTAGATGTTTTAGGAGAACTTGGAGGATAATTTACAATCGTATTTGGTGTAGTTTCAGTTTTAATTAAGAATTTTGAGGAATTTATGTTTTTCAAGAAGCTACTGAAAAGCCTTTATCTAATTGACAAAAATTGGATTTAAATGAGAGGTGTAAAACAAGATAAAGATAATAAAAATAATAATAAAGACAAAGTTTAAGATGATTTAAAAGATTAAAATTAAATGCGAGAATGGGATTTTTCTACGCAAAATCATGATTTACATCGGTTGAAATTCAAAGATAATTTAAATGGTATTAATAGAGGTAAAAAAAATAAGATTTTATAATAACTAGAATAAGGTTTAAGATAGATGATTAAAATTGAAATACCAATATTTAAATATTACTTGTATCAGATTAAAACTCAATTAAGACTTTGCTTTTGGTGTTTTAAGAGGAAATTTCATTGTGATTAAAAAAATAACATAAATAAATTCTTTATAATTATAAATTAACTCTTTATTTATTCGAAGATTTCTACTTGATTCCTTTAATTAAAATAGAATCAGTCTGCAAAAAAATGTTAATGAATTCAGGATAAAGCTCAACAGAGGCATTACTTACCCCTGTATAGCCTTAGATTATTAAAAAAGAAGCCATTCTTTATGTTTCAGCGATTGCTGTCATAGTTTTAAGCTTGGAATTGTTGTTTGGATAAGGGGGAAATTAAGTTATTCTGCAGAGCAAGAATAAAATATCAATGGTGGAGTACTCCAAAGTTCTTGATATTCCTGGCTCTAACTTTGTTAATGTCTTTGTCGACAATGATTCTGCAAAGGGACTCTCATTTAAGTTAGGTGAGAATAAAGAAATAACATTAAAACTAAGAGCATACAATCATGAGGATGATACATGGTAAGATGAGATAGTGCAAAGTGTCATCACAGTGCTTAAAGTTAATGCAAATGGGAAAAGAGTTACTATTACTCATGAGGGTGATTTAATAGTTGAAAGTACAAATGGCTTTTAGTATGTTGTTAGTGGAGTACAAGATGCAGCTCTTGATAGTAAAGGAAAAGTCTTTGCTATTGTAACCAAAGATCTAGTGGAATTCGAAAATAAATTTGAAAGTGAAAAAAATGGAGTGCAGCTCTACTCAAATAAAGATTATAGAAGCATTGAGGTTTATCAAGATAGAGCTGTCCTAGTAAAAGTTGACGGAAGCCTAGAAGGCTTCAGCTAACTATGTGTAAAGGAGATTAGTGTTGGTTCTAAATATGAAGAGGGGCTTTTCGCCTTAAGTTGCTGGTCTGATCCATAATTGAATTTGTTTCAATTGTTAAGATGGAGCGATTCTTTGAATGATTGGGAGAAAGTAGACAATGTTTTTGCAGACAAGATTGCTGCTGAATCTTATACCAAAATTTACATACAAGGCTATTATAGTATTTCAGAGCTTACTTTAATAGATTGAGTGAGGCATTGAAAATTAGAAGCTGAAATTAATGATTCATTTGATAAAGAGTGAGATGATTCTCTCATTGGTACAAGATTAAATTGAGAGAAGAATAATTCTGAATTAAATTTAATACAGGTGTGACTATATATTATGAATTAAATTATATCTTGACATTTAAAATCTAAGATTAATACTCACTCACGGGGTTTTGGGGTTTTGGGG